AAATCGTAGACGTTTTTTTACTCTATTTTTTATATGATAGTAGTAGAAAGTAGACAAATTAAAAAAAACAAAATTGTTAATTAAATAATTTTATTTAATTATAATATAATGAATAAATATTTGTTAGAATAAATAAAATAAATGAAAAAAAAAGTATAATAGGCAGGGATCGAACCCAGATCGACAGCGTGATAGCCCAGGGCCTAAGTGTCCGAGCTACGCTGCTATCTCGACAACCGATCCAACAGGACCGGAATATAAGGGACGCCATAAACTTCAAATCGATTTTTCTCGAAAACGGCTAAGCGTTGCGCCCTATTCTTTTACTCAAGTACTCTTCTGATAGAGTACTATACCATATAAAAATTTCTTTGAAATCGGTGACCCGAAGTCCGCGTCCTCCCCTTGTTAGTTGCACATTTATTTCGAAGATACGTAGCCGCGTTAACAGCTTCTGCCCATAGTGACTGAGGGAGGTTATCTTGTAGAATTATACATCTCGCCATTTCAACAAGCGTGCGGTTCTTACGTTCTGCTACTCCGTTTTGTTGCGGTGTGTATTCCACGCTCAGCTGGTGCGTGATTCCTTCATTCCTCAGGAAATCCTTGAAAGCGTTTGATAGATATTCCTTTCCGTTATTCGTCCGTAGCTTCTTGATTTGTTGACCCGTTTGTTTTTCGACCTTCAGCTTGTAATTTTTAAATGCTTCGAGCACATCTGATCGATTACGCATTATCCTTGTTTCAGTGTATCTCGTGCAGTCATCTGTAAAAGTTACAAAATATTTAGCGCCACCTAGAGATTCGGTATTCATTGGACCGCAAATGTCCGAGTGAATTAATCCCAAAACGTCTTTTTCGCGGTGTGTGTAGAATTCTTAAATGATTGAACGTGTATTTTACATTTGGCGCATATCTCACAGTTAAGCTGACTTAGATTTGCTGTAAAGTTCATGCCGGCAACTAATTCATTCGTTTTCATCTTTTTGAGGTCGTCGATATTCACGTGTTCATACCTTTGATGCCAATAGATTTTTGTCAGCCTCATTGTTTACCAGCATTGCTAGGTCCACCCTCTCATCGACGACATACAGTTGGTTTCGTTTTGTAGCTGTTAGAATCGTTGAACCATCCTTTTGTTTTACGATCGCGCAATTCTTCGTAAATATTACTGAATGTCCTTTATCTGTAATACTCGACACAGATAATAAATTATTACGTAACTCAAGTACATATAACGCGTTTTGTATCTTTATTAAATTGTTCTCGCGATTTGTCTTTATATTTAAGTTCACACTTCCCGATCCGATCGACTCGACAAAATGTTCCGATGTCATGTACACTTAAGATTGATCGTCGTTACTAATAGTTTCGAATTTCCGTTTGTTATTACACATGTGCCTGGTTGCACCGCTATCGAGGCACCACACTCCCGATTTCATAATAAGCTCCGCATTACACGCAATCGCGGTTAAGGCGTTATCTGTATTGTTTGTTTTATTTTGTTTCGGTTTTGCACGGCAATCACGACTTCTGTGCCCAATTTTGCTACAATTAAACACTTTCCTTCGAATTTTTGAGTTTACCTTTGTGCTGCCATCCCTCGAGTTTACACGTAAATGTCTTCCACGATTAGCACTTCTTTTTGCCAACAACGCTTCGCTTTTCTTGTCGCCGTCACTTGTTTTCGCATCTCGATCGTTCTGTCTCGCTTTCTCTTCTTTAAGCTTTGCCTTAAGGACTTCAAGCGTTGGGATGTCGTCACGTGATTTTATGGCTACGCTGAAATTTTCGTACTCTTCCGGTAGAGAATTTAGTAGCATTATGGATAATAATTCATCCAGAATTTCAATACCTGATTCTTCCAGTTGTCCTGCCTTGCTAGTGAAATCATTCACATGTTACGTTATCGACACGTTCGGCTTCTTTTCCATTCTTAGCAAATGCTTATATAATATAACTTTTCTTACCGGACCTTTTGATTCGAAGATCCCCTTGAGACTATCCCAAGCTCCTTTTGCAGTCTCGGCCTTCTTTACGTAGTTCAACTGGCTGTGTGAAATGCTCAAATTTATTAATGCTAGGGCTTTTGAGTCTTTTCTTATCCAGTCATGTGCAATTTCAGGTGGCTTAACTTCTGTACCGTCGACGTATTGCCATAAGTCGTTGTAGACGAGTACACTCTTCATTTGAACTTTTCACAGCTCATAATTACTTTCCGTTAATTTTTCAATATTAGAGAAACCACTCGCGGACGCCATTTTTAAGGATATTGACTCTTGATTAACACGCGCAGTCAATGAGACGCTCTGGGCCCATAACCTGTTAGAAAACGCTAGGTCGTAGGACACTAATTTGTAGTATTTAGAATAAAGCGTTTATTAGATTTAGCATTGTCTGTTTATACACTCGTCTGTGACTACAGCAAAAAAGGCGCGTACGTGAACAATACTCACGATCGTTGTGAAACCGTGTGAGCTTTTCGTGCGCGGTATAGCTCGCCGGGATCCGTGTTCGGTCGGGTAGGAGCACGTCAAATGGAAACTTGCGTTTAAAGATAATAACAAAAATGATACGTTTATTCAATAAATAATGTGCGTTAGATGACAGCGTGTGGATGCGATGTGCGATGGTATGATTCGTATAAATGTGGTGTGTGATGTGTATAAATGTGATATGTAATTTGTATACTGCGATATGATTCGTATAATCGTGACGAGTGTGTAGCTGACGTAAAGCGTCCCGGTACAAGCGGCGAAACGTTAGCGCAAGCGCGTAAGATCGAGTCGTAGCGGTTAAGACACTATAAACGTGAATATTCTTGTCTGCGCCATTTTTGACTCATTCCCTCACTCCTTACCCTCTCGCCCCTTTGTCGCTGAGCTGAGAAGTTTATGATGATTAGGTTATGTCTTCTAAGCTGCTCGAACTTTGTAGGGACCAAGAGGGCAAGGAGTGGGGGAATGGGACAAAAATGGCGTAGACGAGAATACCTGTATCTTTAGTGCTCTATAGCGGTTGGTACGACGGAGCGCCTGTCGGCAGGCGCGTTCGTAGATGCGTCGCGAGTCCGTTCGATAGTCGATTGATACGGGTCACGCTCGGCGGCGCGGATGGTCGACGCGGTTAGAGTTCCTATAAGTAGAGTTAAGACACCGGGCTATCAATTGCTGATTGGTTGTTCCAAGCCGCCATATGCAATAGCCAAACTAGCGGAAAATGTAAATTTATAAAGTCGGAAATTTATAGATATGTGCTTTTATTAACAAATATTTTTTCAAAACAAAAGATATTAATTTTATTTTAAATAATTAATGTCTATATAAACTATTTTTATACAAATAAAGAGTGATCTAAAGAAAATTGTAATTTATACCGATGTAAACATATACTATATTCTCCTTGCTACGTTAGCAGTCATAGGTCGTAGACAGCCACTTCTGAAATGTTTCGTAGTCAAGCCTAGCAATGCAATATAAAATTAGTTTGTGTTACTGTTTATAGTGTATTTATAATGAACAAAATTTGCGTTAATATTATTTGGAACAGATATTATAGAAAAACATTTCAATAAAAAGTAAGTTTATTTAATTATTTTCATTGAATTGTGAAATAAAAGAAAGTAAGAACATAACCTTAAAATTAAGTGTGCAATTAAGTAGTCAATGTAATATTTTTTAGGTTCATAATGACGGGTTGTGTAGCTCCAAAATGTTTTAATTCATCTTCCAAAGGGTTTAAGATGTGTTATTTTCCCAAAGACTCTAAAAGATGTGCTGAATGGATCCAAAATATGGGGCGAACTAATTGGACACCAACTCAGCATTCAGCATTATGTCAAGTACTTTAATGAAAAATATACGCAAAATATCATATTGAATTATTCTATTCATACTTAACATCACAGACTCAGTACATATAGCTTTTAATATTAGAGTTACAAACAACATACACGTACATACATAAATACATTATAGAAAATTAGTATTATAAATTTTGTTATATTTTTGATAATAACTAAATTAATTTTATGAAATTCGTAACATTATTGAATCTCACAGAACAGCAAAAAGCGTCACTAATTTTCAATTATTATGATTTCTTAATGTAATATTTTTTTCTTACGTTATTTTGATTTCCAAAACAATATAATGAAATCTTTATTTGTTGGTATAATTTTGTTATAAATCCCTAAAAAATATATACTTTTATATTTGTATATTTATTAATTATAAATTATATTATTAAAAAAGGTTCAATTTGCGTCAACGGCTTGGGAACAGCGAGTTGATGGTTTATTGAAATTGAAAAGGAATGCTGTGCCTACACAATTTCATCAGCCAGGTAAAAATACATATTTTTAATCTATCCTGTGGAAAAGCATTCATTAAAAACAGTTGGAAAGACATCGAACAAACGACTTTTTAACTGGAAAGTTATTGAAAATAATTCAATTCGATTCTAGCTATTTTCAATATTATGGATAATTTTTCACCGGAGATGTTTTATTGACATTACATTTTATGTACTTAATTATATAAATATGTTTTATATCAAATTTTACTTTATTCATATAACTACTATCTTCTTCTAAAAGTAAAATTTGTAATTTTTTATTTGAAAGGCTCAGCACAAGATCATCTGTCACAATTATCTATCACTGAAGCTCATGAAATTCCAACAACAAGTAATGAGATACAAACGGAAATTGTGACACAGAATGAATCGGAAGATTGCAATATTAATATTAGCAGCGAAGCATCATCTGATGACGAGAACGCATTCATCATGCAACAACAGCATTTTATTAATAAAAAAGATGCTGATCACACTGAGTGATTTTTCAATTTTTAAATTGTACATACAAATCTTTTAAAAATAAAAAATTAACTTTTTAAAGAAAATTATTTTTTTATATTTAATTCTAGATAATATATGGTTATTATATATATTGTTCTAAACATTTTTAGAAATACAATTGTCAGATAATTATTATATAGATTTTCATCCATCGCGTGTATGTACAATACATGTACACGTGCTTGAAAATCTATAATATATGTCACATAAACTATAGATTTCCGCCATATGTAATAGCCAAAGAAACAACCAATCATAGCCCGATTTGCCCGGTGTCTTAACTCTACTTATAGGAACTCTACTTCGGGACGAAGTCCAGCGCCAAAACGGCCGAGCTGTAAGATGCAAGCAATAATGACCGATAGACGGCGCCAGCGGACAGCAGCCAGATGATCGAGAGCAGCGCCTCGATAGAATCGATCCTGCGCGGGCGCGCTCCCGCTCCTTGTATTTTTCTGTATCAAATAATAACCGATAAAATATTCGAGAATCTTCGAAGAAGTCGACTTGCGAGACAACGAGAGATCAAGTCTCACTCTCTATCGTCGATCCAAGCCGTTCAGTCATCAAAAAGCGTTATATTATAGAGAGACAGTCGGGCCAAATTTATTAAGTTGAGACTTAGTCGTTTTCACACAGTTTGTATTTCTATCATAAAGTCAATTTGTTAAGTATATTACATTAAAATCAGTGTCGATCTTCTTTAATTTATTTCATAACCATCCTGAATTACCGTTTACTTTTATTCATCAATATTAATCGGACAAGGTCGTGTCGCACTCGAACGTTTAAACGTTAACGTTACGTTAAACTTTTAAATAAAGAAAGTCGAGTCGGAACTAACAATATTTAAGAAGTCGATAATCGAAAGATTTTACTAAGACGCTTTCACTTCACTCACTCCTCCAACGGTCAAAGTGATTGAAGGCCAACGACGGCATTTAGGTCAATCGTCTGAGTCTCCTTCGTAGCGAGAGCACACCATCTACACGGCCGCTAACGCGGATAATTAAGACGCACCCGGGGGAGGATGGAAAAGTTTGCGTAGTCCGCATTGCCGCCTCTAAACTAACGCGCTCAATGGTGAAGATCGTCCTCTTGCTAGTTGCCGATCCCGGCCTCAAAGAGGAGGAACAAGCGTAATAGTGCTAAAAGTTTTTCTGTCGCTCATCGGCTACGTATACATATGTAAATACTTATCAAAAAAATTTTGTTCGAGATTAAGCATAGCATTGCCTTAAAAACTGTAAGTTCATGTAATTGTACGATGCAATAGCGTGCAAAGCGTATACTGCATGCTATTCTGAACGTTATTTTGCTTTATACTTGACTCTAATTGTGTCTGATTTGCTAATCGACGCCAACTAGAGTCCGCTGTCAGAAAATGTGATAAAGTGCGCGTACCCTCGACTGATTACCGCTTACTACGCTTCCTCGCTAACCCAGCGGTTTCGACGACTCACCTTAGTTTAAATCTTGACACTTTGTGTTTGGACTATCTATAAATAGAATCGACGGCTATGATTGCCTCGTAAGCTAAGGTTAGATTAAACTAGCTGTCACTCACCGGCAATTTTCACGCTAGCCCGAAACTCATTGAGCTAAGCACCGGCGAGGAGCACACTCATACCGCTCACAGTACTTCTCAGCCTTCATAGATCGTCATCCTCTCGTCCAGTTTCAATTACATCTACGATACTCATTTGCACGAAACACGCCGTACGTGAATTCCCAGCCACGAGTCAACTACACGTCAGTGTTGGGAGATCTGCACACTTTGGCGTCCACGGTTCCCACCAACACAACCGAGAATTGCTTACGTCACGCATCCGTGTGCGCTCGGCTTTCGGCTTGTAGAGCGAGTGGACATAAGTCTTGCGTTTTACTTCCATCAAATCTAGCAAATTGGTTTTGAGGTGACGTCGCGCGACTTTTTTCTCCTGCTAAGATTTGGCAGCGTTGGCAGCATATGACAGCGAAAATGCTTTTCCGAGTTTTGCTCTACGCAAGTTTCGACCAGCAGCGTGTTGCTTTCGTTCCACGCGAAATCTTCTGAGATTTACTTATCAGATTATCTTTTGAACCCTTATAAAGCATATATGATATTTATATTAATAAAATATTTTAACATCACGTCTACAGAATATGATTTTTCATATTAATGTATAAAATAAGAATAAACTAATAAAAATTATATATTGTTAATAAATTTTATTATTATAATAAAAAAATATATGTATCGCAATATATTAACAAAACAAGTAACATTTCCACAATTTTAGTAAAAAAACATTATTCCTGTTAAAACATTAATATGAGTTAATTGCGACAAAAATAAGCTTAGGAAAATTTAATATTTTATGTATGTTATTAATTTATTTATATATTCTAATTTTAAGTATGAGTATGAGGTTACAACTACAATTACATATAATTAATATAAATACAATTAATATAAATGTTTGCTTGAGCATTTGTCAACATTAATAAAATAAAGAAATCAATAAATGTAAATTATTATTAAAAAATAAAAAAATAAATTAAAAATTTAAAATTAAAAAAAAAGAAATAAATAAGTATTTGTAAATTATCAAGAAATAAAAGATTTAAAAAACATAATTAAATATTAAAAATTAGAAACAGAACATTATAATATATTATATTAATGTTGATGGCTCAACAATGTCAACATTTTCGTCTCCGTGTACTATAAAAGTACTTGTCACTTTTTTAATACTATTTTTGTATAAATTGTCGGATTTCATTAAAGATAAATGCTGAGCATTTATCTTTACGTTAAAAATTTTTTTTCTTGCTTTTAATGCGGTTTTCAATACACAAAGGGCATTTACGCTTTCCAAAGACAATTTATTTCGTCTTTTTGTTTTTATGTCCGATAGAAGAGAAAAAGTTTTTTCTAAATCCGCGTTAGAATTAGAAAGTGATTTAACAGCATTCAAAAAAGATTTGAGATTTCTATATTTATTAATATTAATAGGATACTGACGTTGTAAAATTTGTTTGTGTACACGTGCGTCGTGTGGCGTTGTATCGGGCCGCTAACAGCTGAACTCAGGGGCGTGCGAACTCAAAGGTGCCAAGCGGGCCCCGCTGCCTTTCTAAATTCGCTAAGTGCACCGAGGTAAGCGGGATGTTTGAGATTAAACACTCTTGTCAGCACGCGCGTTGTACCGTGCGCCGAAATATCACACGGCGCTTAGTCAGCGGCACTAAACATAAGCCGTCGCTCAGTCGTCAACCGCTCTAGCACAACAAAAATAAGACCGCGCGAAAAATAACAACAATTCCCGTCCTTCTGAAAGAATCCAATGATCAACCAAAAACGATTACCGGAAACTTGCATTTGCTCGATTGCTCAGGATTGTTCTCGAAAGGACAAGCTTATAAAAGCAGCAGAAACCCAGAGCGCTCTCTCACTCGAAAGAAATCACTGATGCGTTCACATACTATCGCAATGAGGATAATTGAAATGGTTCAAATCGCGACGTTTAAGATAGAAGAGAGTTTCTCGCTCTTTTTAATCTGAGTTCATTTAAATCGCAATTCAATTGTAATTCTCAGCGAGTTCTCGTGCTCTTTCCAGTGCTCGTGATAAAGACAGATCATCACACGCGTACCAACCGATTACCTAATGCACTTCCGACACTCGCAGGAATTGGGACAGAAGCACTGACTTTGTATATAACTATAAATAACTGTAAATAAGGTGAACGAGTTTATTTAAAGAATTGTGTCGTCAAATTACAAATCTTCTTATCAATATTGAATTACTAAACACTATCCTTTCTTTTTGTTCTTTCTTTCCTTCGATCCACCGTCTCGCTTTTGTGATCGCTACGCGATCGAATAGTATTGGTCATTATACAACAATATGTTAGCGATCCAGTGGAAATTGGGAAGAATTTGATGAACTCGCTGAAAAAAAAATATCCAAATCGGAAAACAAATAATATCAACAATACTTTTTTAAAAATTATATTAGTTTATATTTCAGTATTTATAAAATAATATATAATTATATATATATATATATATATATAATTATAATCTATATATAAAAAAATATATTGCTTTTGTCATATTTTTTAAATTTAATATTATATCTTTTTTATATATACGTACCAGTTTTGCTTCATAATATTTTAGTATTTATTTGATATTTTATTATGTTTCTCTAAATGCTAATTTAGATAGATCATTTTATTAAACTATTGCAGCTCTCATCGTCATAAAATAAGATGATATTGTTTTCAGAAACTATAAAGATAAAATAATTAAATATATATATTTATGCAGAATCAAATCAAAGAACATTTTTTTTTGCAATTTAAGCACTGCGTACTATGTCGGCAAAATACCGTCATTATTCCAGCAGAATATGCTGTTTCAGCTGCACCGAAAAAATTGTATTCTTGAAATTTATACTTAATAAGTTTTTTTAATAGATATTCTTAATGAATAAGTACAAAAAATGTATTTTCTCAAAAAATATAACTTTCTTAAAGTTTTAATAACAAATATCCACTTATAAAACTGTTTTTTGTTATCATGGTTAACTAAATATCCCAAGTATTAAATAATATAATGATAAGAGAATATCCCATTTAGCATATATTCTTATGCGTTAAGAATATCTGATATTCTTTAGAGGATTTTTCTCTTAAACTAATTGTAAGAGAATCTTCTTGATGCTTATTTTAGAATAAGATATTATAAATATAAGTGAAATATTTTTAAGATAAGAACACAATTTTTTTGGTGTAATGTCGACAAAAACACAGCAAAAACCGAGCATGACGTGCATCACGACGACAGAAATGTAGCAAAAATTGAAGAGAATTCATCATCATAAATAGAGCAAATTTCAAACATTGTATTCTGACACAATGTGTCGGTAGAATGCACACCGAGATTATACATAGCCTGCTGTCATAGTGGAATACCATTACACAAAATACCATCAGAAATCAAGCTTG